TAAAAAATAAATAGAAGTTTTCAATAGAATTCCAATAGAAGTCCTATAGAAACCCCGTAGAATTCCTATAGAATTCCAATAGAATTTTTTAGCGAATTCTCTAGGTTTTCTATTGACTTTTTTTATGCTTGATACTTCTTTTTTTTTCATTAAAAAAATCAAACCAGATAATTTAGAAAAATTATGCCGAAGATTTCCCATAGAAGATATCTCAATAGAATAAGCTCCATAGAAAAATCGAATTCGATTGCTCTTTGCCATCGGATGAATATTTATCATTGAATGTTTTTGGTGGAACAAATCACGCAGATAAGACGCTGAATTTTGGTCAATAGAATCAGTCGAAAACTAATGAAAATTATGTGGAAGTCCAATAGATTTTTCTAGGGAATTCACTAAGTTGTTCTATAAAATTGTTCACCTCGTGTTTTTCGAACAGTCGTTGTCATCAACATGTTTTTCAATCTGCGGTATTTATAAATAGCGATAAAAATCGATGGGTTTTCATGTTTCTCAATAAAACATGTGATTATCTCAGCAAGTTCGAATATAGATACCCACATTAACCGCGAAAAATATGTGCCTTCACAAGAGGAAGCCATTCATTACTACTGTCGGTGTCAAAAGTTGAGACCACTCGAAATAAACGTCTATAACTCGACGAAAAAAAATCGTAAAAATATGGAACCAATTGCACTGTGTAATATAAGTATTTCACTCACCCAATACGAAGTTTCAAGTTTTTAATTTCATTAGTTTATTTATAATCGCTGTGAGAAGTCGAAAAACCCCTCGATTTTCAGGGTCCGTAAAAGTCGGCAAACTTTGAACCGCTACCACACGTACGAATTTTTTTTTTTTTAAATCGTCAATTTTTCCAGAGATTTGTGTAACCCTTGGAAAGCCAAGGAGAGAAGAAAAAACTCAATATTGTAATAATTATTTATTCAATTAATAGAAATGTCGACTGCGGCCATCTCATTCTAGAATTGCCGAATCGACCTGAAAAAAAACGATGCATTCTGAATTCAATGTAAAACACATTCGGTCAATATTTTTCTAATAAACAATCTCCGTTGATTTAAAAAAATCGAGAAATTTCGTCAAAAAAAATGCTGTTAAAACGATCATAACTCATTATGGGGTTTATGGATCCGCTCATCATCGGTCCCTCAAAATTGAAAACACATGTGCGCCTGCCTACGTCGATACCAGTTACAGTCGTTTGGGCCCTTTGGAGCGCAAATACATTATACATTACTTGTCCCCTGAGGGCCCAAACGACGGTAACTGGTATCGACGTCCCTGATACAGGTAGACAGGCGCACATGTGTTTTCAATTTTGAGGGACCGACGGTGAGCGGGCCCATAAACCTCATAACGAGTTATAATCGTTTTAACAGCACGTTTTTTGACGAATTTTCTCGATTTTGTTTTAAATCAACGGAGATTGTTTATTAGAAAAATATTGACCGAATGTGTTTTACATTGACTTCAAAATGCATCGTTTTTTTTCAGGTCAGTTCGGCAATTCTACAACGAGATAGCCGCAGTGGACATTTCTATTAATTAAATAAACGATTATTACAATATTGAGTTTTTTCTTCTCTCGTTGGCTTCCCAAGGGTTCAACAAATCTCTGGATAAATTGACGATTTAAAAAAAAAATTTCTTACGTATGGTAGCGGTTCAAAGTTTGCTGACTTTTACGGACCCTGAAAATCGGGGGGTTTTTCGGCTTCTCACAGTGATTGTAAATAAACTAATCAAATTAAAAACTTGAAACTTCGTATTGGGCCAGTGAAATACTTATATTACACAGTGCAATTGGTTTCATATTATTACGATTTTTTTTCGTCGAGTTATAGACGTTTATTCCGAGTGGTCTCTACTTTTGACACCGACAGTAGTACATTCTTCTACCACCTCTTCCTCTCGAGAAAATCTTCACTGCCTGTAGAGCTGTTCAATCAGGAACCATAAGAGTAGTAATTGTATCCCCGCATTCCATGACTAAAAATTAGAAAAAAAAATCAATCGATGACTAAATCTGGTATCTGAGTTCCTCAAACAGTCAAAAGAATCATAATAAGGTTCCAGTCAATACGCACACCATAACACGAAACAAGAAATCCCCCAAGAATGATAAACAAATTGGAATTCAAATTCAAATAAGTTTATTCAAGTAAATTGTGAATTATGTACAAAACAGTATATACACAAGAGAGATAACAATTATAGTGCAGATTCACGCACGGAAAAATTTAATAGAAAAACCTAGCGAATTCGTTGGAAAATTCTTTTGGATTTCTATTGAACTCTCTATTAGTTTTGGCCAATTCTATTGAAATGTTTAATGGAAAATATTCAAAAGAAAAAGTCAATAGAATTCAATTTTTCTGTTTAACTTATTCTCTTCAAATATTTTCTATAGGATTTCCTCGGCCCGAATTTTCCATGTTTTTTTCATTTTATTTTTCTTTTTCTCTCATCAAGAAAATTAAACAAAAAAATTTGGAAAATTTGAGCCGAGGAAATTCTATAGAAAATATCTCAATACAATAAGTTGTATAGAAAAATCGAATTCTTTTGATTCGTTCTATAAAATGTTTTCTATTGAACTTTTAAATGTAATCGGCCAAAAACTAGTAGGGAGTTCAAAAGAAATCCAATAGAATTGTCTAGCGACTTCGCTAAGTTTTTTTATCAAAATTTTTCATCCGTGTTCAACCACCTATAGGCTCAATAACCCATTGCACATATGAGGTTTACGAGGATGTTATTAATTTACACTAGGGTGGCCCATTTTACGGGTATTCCTGAATATTTTCGATTTCGCCTCAAAAAATGATTCTTCAGTTGATAAAATACCCCTGTGAATTTTTTCATATTTTTAAACTGCATTTTGATGGTTGCGCCGTGTGTTTAAACTTTGACTAACATTTTTGACCTACTGGCAGTAGAGGTCATAAAACTTGGGTAGAAGTTAAATATCCTCAATGATACGCCCGTGTCAGCTAGGTAATTGTTTTTTTTTGTATTCTTTAGTCTTTAATTATTCTCGATATATTGAGAATTGGATAGTCCTCATGGGCAAAATATATTTTTTCAATCTGAAGAATGTAGGAAATTAATTAAAATGTTTCGAAAAATAATGATACAAAATAGAGTTGAAATAAGCATAATTAACCTTCTGAGTTGAATAAACGCTCCCAGGATTCCTTCGGATTAAGTTAGATTTGTCTAATGCCTTTTTTTTTTACAAAAAATGTAGTTGACACTTCTTTCAAATGTATGGGAAATATAAAATTCTCAATATATCAAAAATAATCAAAGAGTAAAAAATACAAAAAATCAAAGAAAAAGAAGTTATTGAAAATTTGATACATGAAATATTGAAGAACAATTTTTCTGGCCTAATGAATGGAATCCCCTCTTCCACCACTCCCTGACATTATCGTGGATTTTCCTTGCTCCCTTCTGCCGCCTGAAGCGTATTACTGACGCACTACAGTTATCATAGAAGGTTTTCCTCTTTTCTTATCATTTTTTCATGAATGCATCATCTGAAAACATGAAAACTATACACAAAATTTCAGCTAAATTTTAAAGCAGCTCTACGATGCGAGTTCAGTCCCCTCCCAGCGCAGGTTAGTTCGGCAGGTCAAATTTTTTGCCTAGGCTCAATTTCTGTGTTTACGACCGTTGTAAAAGCACCGCATGAGCCGGACACCTGTCTTTACTGGAAATTTAGGAATTATCTTTCGCATTTTTTTCAGAATTCGATTGGTGGGGAAGAAAATTTTTTTCTTTGAATTATTGTCAGATAGTTCCATAATCCATCAACCGAATCGGGATGAAAAACGGCCAGATACCCAGCGTGCTAGAGGCGTCTAAAAATCATTGAATTGAGTAGAAATGAGGATTTTCATTTTGATAAGTAATAAGTTTTCTGTTGAGTCAAAAATTAATCCTGTTCTTAAACCTCCCTCTGAACGGTTCACGGAGGGGAAACACCGAGGGATGTAATAATTGAGTCTTTAAAAAATTATTGACACATTCGATCTCTACGATGCGTGTAAAAGTCCATAAGAAATAAAACTACACGGCGCAACCTTGAAAAATGATTCAAAAATTTTAATAAAATTCACATGTACTTTCCATGTCATTGGTTATCTTTATCAAACACGAAAATTATGAAATTCAATTTTTTTTACATATGAGCCATCCTAATTTACACGTTTAGACATAAGAGAAGAGCTTACATCGAATCTTGTCATTGTAAAAAAACGAGGAAAAACGAGTTTTTGGCAGGGAAAAATACGATGTAAACAAAAAGCAAGTAGGGGTTCAAGCCTATCCGAGAGAAGACGTGAGAAACTTCTACCAATTCCATTGGTAGTAAGCCTCCGAATGGATCCGTAGTAATTTCCTGTCCCTATGACACATACAACCGCAACCACGTTCTACAGGGTGTCTATATACCGCCGGATTTTTTAACCTTTTGATGAAATAGATTCTATAAAAGGCTGAATATCTCCGAAGCTTCTCGGCCGCTTGCGTTCATCCAAAACATCAATCTCCAATATTACAAGAGATATAATGATATCAAATTTCAACCTGCCGTTTCCATTTTTTTCTGAAGTTATCATGCCTACAAAATTTTTAAAAATAACAGAAAATTGGCAATGTCTCGAAAACTTTGTATGAACGGTTTTCTGTGAAATATTTTGATTGATCTGGATAGAGCCGATTAAGTGGAATATTTTGCAAAAAGAAACATTGAAATCGGTGCAGTAGCAGTTGTTAAATGGAAGATGTATCTTCCATGGTTGGCAATGACACAGAGAAATTTGTTTCGGGTAACTTGCTATTTGCTTATATCATAGGGAGCAGCATTGTGTCAGACAGAGCAAGCATATATCATAACCGGTCGTACGAAAGTTTTATGTAAGTTTCAGATTAAAAGTGAAGAAGAAAAACCATTTGTTTTTGGACAGGCAAGTGGTGGGGTCCGAAATACATTCGCCCGATAATAACATTACACGGTCGTCAAGATAATGCTGGAAGTTTTGATCCGCTGATACCAAAATTATGTCATAATCAATCATTTTTGTGCCTGGATCTGCCTGGTCATGGTCGCTCGTCGCATCTGCATCAAGGGCAGTACTATTTCGTTTATTGGGATGGTGTTATGTTGCTGCGCAGGGTCGTTAAACATTTTCAGTGGAACAAGGTCAGAGAATGAATAAAAATTATTAAGTGTCTTCACAAAAATGCACTAAAATTTGCACTAAAGTCATTATTAGTTCTTGAAGATACAGTGGTTACTCCCTAATATTTCAGCCTCTGGGGCCAGAATTCACGAAATTAAATGTTCGGGAAGCCCTTACTCTTCCATTGGAGGCGGAGCTGGCAAAGAGATAAACAGTGAGAATGAATCTGCCTGTTTCACTCTCACACGCTGAGAGCACTGATCTCTATACTAAGTATCTCTATACTAGTATCTCTATAGTAAGTATCTCTATACTAGTATCTCTATACTAAGTATCTCTATACTAGTATAGAGATCAATGGCCGAGAGTAATCTTACTACGCAGTACCGTCGCGCAGAGGGACACACAGATTTACCCAAACGCATTTACGTTGTGGATGGTGGGGAGAGTCAGCTGAAATGACCTTGATGGCTCATCAGTTCTTCGACTGTAATGTTAGGGAACCGAAATGTTAGGGAGTAACCACTGTATGAAAACTTTTTTTTTCACTCGCAACTGGCCATCGACCCAAGGGGTTTCAGCCAAATTAATGTGTCAAACTATTTATTTTTATTTCCTTTATTTCTTCCAATTTTGCTATGAAATCTTACCTATGTATGCATTATTGTACATATACACCCATATAATTGAATTAAAAAATCAAACTGAAGAAACTATGAAGTTTACACCATTACGTGAGTTTATTCCATTTAATAATTGAATATCACGAAAATATTGTATGAACGGATAGGCATATTCTGATTGATCTAGATAAAAACTATCGAGGCGAGTATTGAAAAAAATTAAATCTGTTTTTTATTGATAACTATTAACCCTTGCTGGGTTATTCACCATAAATTTCGCGGTAAATTCAACAAATTTTCTATTTTATTTTGGTTCATTTTCGTTTTCATTTGCATTCGGTTTTTATTTTATTTGAGAGATTTTTTGATTATTCAATATGAGAAACTCGGTATTGAACGATTAGTGTAGGGTTATTGTCTTTATTAAATTTAAAAAATGTGGTTGCAGGCGATTTTTACAACTTGAATTTTTTTTTCACCACAATTGTATTTCAGAGGAAATGGCGGTCAAGTTTACAATCAGATTTCAAGAACCCCAGACACACACACACGTATAAAAACATTTTTTAGGAACATAATTTCTTCATGTTTCATGACATTTTTAGCCATTTTCCACGAATATTGGGAAATCTAAAAAAACACATTTACAAAGCTTTGCATTCGGAGCCAACGAAACGAGAAGTTTCATACAGTCATGCCGGACGCGAGTCCCACAGGTCCCTCAATTCTCGCTCGAGTACCACTGCGTAGCCCTTAGGGCGCCGAACGCCTGGCGCTCCGTTTAAATCGTTGGAATTCGATCGACAATGGCATGACTTTTTATTCCACTTGCTTCAATGGACATTGGGAAGGAATAAGTGTTTGAAATAAAGTTAATAAACGTTAGACGATGTAATGATCGAGCTTCTCGTAATCAATAGAGCAAGGGTCAAATTTCGCAACAGTCTAACGTCACAAGGGTTACAAGAGAATAATGAAATTTTACGGAGGTTGAATGTTGCAATGGTCAAACTCTACAAAGGTAAAACACGAGGGTCACGAGAGTCACGAGGGTCACAAGGGTCACAAAAGGATGAACAAATTTCACGAGAGTCAAACGTCACGAGAGTCACAAAAGAATGGTCAAATTTCACGAGAGTCAAACGTCACGAGGGTCACAAAGGGGTAGTCAAATTTCACGGGAGTGAAATGTCACGAGGGTCATAAGGGGATAATCAAATTTCACAAAAGTCACAAAAGGATTGTCAAATTTCACGTGAGTCAAACATCGCGAGGGTCACAAGGGGATAGTCAAATTTGACGAGAGTCAAACGCCGCGAGGGTTACAAGGGGATACTCAAATTTCACTAGAGTCAAACGTCCCGAGGGTCTCGCGGAGATGGTCAAATTTCACGAGGATCAAATAATTCCTACGCTAGTTCTGTTTCTCTATGCACAACCAAATTGAATAAATGTTATTATTGGAATTTACGTTGCCGGTGATGTTGAATCTGAATCCGATGTCGGTTTTTACAAGTTGTCATCAAGTTTTCTTATTTATAACAATTCAATGTTTAAACCATCATATCACGGATACGGTTGCAGATGGGTAACAAAGTTTCAAACAAAAAATTTCGAAAATATAAAAATACACATTTTTTGTGGTATAACTTTTTTCCCCAACTATAATAGATAAAGACCGAAGCGGGTGGCGTATTAGCCCCTGCACGAGTTGTCGGCGGTAAGCGCTTGAACCGCCCGCGCTCTCACTTTACGGGCTATATCTTTGTAAATAATGGAAATGACAAAACGACACGATACTACATCTATGTATTTTTTAAATTTTTCTCCGTATCTCGAACCATTTTTTCGCGAAACGGTATTAAACAAAAACGTTGGATATAATTTGCCTCAGAATGCAGCAATAAAGCGTAAATATTCCATTAACGGCTAGGTGTAGAGAAAAATTTTAAAAATATACTTGTATGTAAATTATGATGCCGAACATTTTTTATCTGAACAATTTTTCTCCATCTCTATCGAGTTTGCCGCATCGGAACGCCCCAACACATCGCAGGCTAACGAATGAAAAGAATGTGTATTTTGACATGACAAACAGATTTTGTTTGAAACCGCTTTTCCTATCCTCAACCGTTTCCATGATATAATGGTGTAACAAGCATTAAGCATTTATTTAATTTCGTAGTGCATACAGAAACAGGGCTAGCGTATGGACTATTTGGTCCTCGTGAAATGTGATCTTTTCGTTATGACTTTCGTGACCCTCGTGAAATTTGACCGTTCTGTTGTGACCCTCGTGAAACGTGATCTTCCCCTTGCGACCTTCGTGACTCGCGTGATGTTTGAACCCGGTGACATTTAGCCATCTCCTTGTGACCCTCGTGACCTCATCAAATTTGGCTTTCCTTTGGCTTGTGACCCGCGTGATGTGTAACCTTCGTGAAGTTTGACCATTGCAATATTCAACCTTTGGGCAATTTAATCATTCCCTTGTGACTTTCGTGATGTCTCATCCTCGGGACATTTGATCATCTTCTTGTGACCCTCGTGAAGTTTGACTCTCGCGAAATTTGACCTTCCTCTTGTGACCTTCGTGACCCTCGTGATGTTTGACCCTCGTAAAATTTGACCATTCCCTTGTGACCCTCATGACCTCGTAACGTTTGACCCTCCTGAAATGTGATCTCCTTTTAACCTTCGTGACCCTCATGGTGTTTGACCTTCGTGAAATTTGACTTTCCCTTGTGACCCTCGTGAAATTTGACTATCCTCTTGTCAGCCTCGTGACCCTCGTGATGTTTAACCTTTTTGAAGTTTGACCATTCTTTAGTGACCCTCGTGAAGTTTGTAAGGGATTTTCGCCAGTGCTTCACCAGCCAATATCCTAAACTAGTTTGGCATCTTCTCTATCGCTCAATTGTTGGGCGCCAGCTGAATTTTCACGGAAAATCCAACGGTAAACCGACCTCAGAGAATAACTCGTCTACCCTGAGGACTTTTCGTGGCGGGACTAACTATGCCGAGCCAGCATCAGCGTAATACAGTAGAGCGGGCGAGGTCCACCATATTAGGAGTAATTCACTCCATCGATCTTCGTCTTTTCAGCCGAGAGATCTCGATAAAGCGTACCTTCCAGGAGACATTTCTCCATGTGTCTTCCGCCGAGGATGTTTCCATTTCTCCGACGTGTTTCCTTTCTCTCCAGAGTGGCTCAACTCTGGAGAAGTCGACGATTACCTGCGCATCCTTTTCACTCCTCGGAGCGCCGAACATTGAGAGACACATGCAACACAGGTATCCGGAGATTCTTCCTCGACCACCTGTGCCCACCTCAACTCATCCTCAATGCTCGGTAAAAGCGCTACCATCGCGGGCCAACACCCAGATTACTCGTCGTGGAGGCACGTGCGATCGGGCCTCCAGGAGTCGGCCTAGCTCCCGGCCCATGGATCCACGCCAACACCACTTCCTTCGTCCGAAATGATGGATCCCTGAGAACATGGAATTAAAATATTCCACGTCCTCAAAGTAATCCAGTCATTCTATTTGGGAAGCGGAATCGTCCCATTCTCTTGCTGTTTCGGATCTTGTCCTAACAACGTTCCCCCGTGATCCACTATGGATGAATGCTACTCACTCCTGTGCCGAGTTACCGGAAAACCATCTGCTCGACTCCAGTGTCTGTCACCGACTGTCTCGAAATCTCCAAGGGCCTTCTTCCCCTAGTCTGAACATCTCTCAGCGGCGGTGTGTCATCCGTTACCCCACCACCACCAATCAGCTCGACAGCAATCGAGGGGGCGCTAGTCCTCTCACCTACTGTCGGACTGACGAGTCCGTTCCCTTCGTTTTCAGAGGTGGGAGATGTGGATGTGCGTGGGGATTAGCCTAAGTGGGGGTAGCTACGAAGGGAACGGACTCGTCAGTTGGCCTATAGTCGTTGGTCCCTAGTCTAAGTCGATAGCGCCTCTAGAATCGCCCAGTTGGAACGCCAGTACGTTGACCATTTTTCCCCAAACACAGCTGGGCGGGTTTCTAGATAAGGCAACAGGGTATCGACAGCCTCTCTTATAATGTTCAGAAGCATGGTTTCACCCAAACCACGCCTCTTGGCATTATTTGATTGGTCTATTCACCTCACGGGCGGTTCTTTTTAACCGCCGTTCGATGTCACTCTCATCTCGCGCTCAGCTTCTTCAGCTGGCGCTAGATGTCGCTCCCTACTCTGTCCTTCACTCTAACCATCCTTGACTCATAGGTTTTCGTGTTGGTAAAACAGTTTACTGTAACGAGAAAATCTCGTTACACACCTCCCTCCTTAGGAGAGGTTTCGACCCGAAACCTACTCTTCAAGTCGAAATCTCCTGAAGTGACTCATCTTCTGATTCTTCGGTCGGAGGGTCATCCAAGGCTTCCTTATAGGGCTTCATGTCCACTATTGAGATGCCTTTTGGATTACGACCAGCTAAATCAGAACTTTCGTAGAAGTTTCTGGAATGCTTCTTGGTGATTACGAAGGGTCCATTGAATGGTTTATTCAATGACGCTAAGCGTTACTTGGCAGCATTGGACAGCTCGTGGTTGCGGACTAACACTAGTTCCCCGACCTCGTATTCACTAGCCCTTCGGCGCAAGTTATAGGCTTGTGCCTGTCTATCATTAGCTTCGGCTAACGCATGTCTGAACGCTAGCCTCAGGGTATCGTGACGTTTCATACGTTCGACCCAGGAGGCTGTAGGTGTCTCTTCGACTTCCACGTCACCTTCTGTCTTTCGTCGTAGCGAATTCGCGGGCTCTGGTTCTCGACCAAAGTTTACGAAAGCAGGTGTGGCTTTCAGAGAACTGTGTTGGGCTGTATTGTATGCAAATCCAAATGCATCCAAATGGCAATCTCAATCACGGTGGTCTGCTTCTACATACGCTTTATCATCGCCTTAAACGAACGATTCACTCTTTCGGTGGGGTTCGCTTGTGGATGATATGGGGGCGTCGTTCGATGCTTCGTGTTAGTTGAAGCAGCGAGCTCTTTCAAGTCCTTATTTACGAACTCGGTTCCATTATCGGTTAGCAACTCTCTAGGAGCTCCCCATCGATGGATGATGGTCTCCTCAAGTGCTTTCCGTATCGTCGTTCCCGTAGCTTTACGCAAAGGACGAATTTCTATCCATTTCGTGAAGAAGTCTTGGATCACCATAATGTACTGATGTCCTGCTTTACTTCGCGTAAATGGCGCCATTATGTCTGCCGATATTCTAGACCATGGTTTCTCGATTGCTCGAGGTCCCATTTGTCCTATCGGCGCTTGTTGCTGTACTTTACAGCGCTGACATTCGTGACACGAATCCACATAGGTCATCACGTCTTCAAACATCGCTGGCCAATAATATTGTGTGGCCAAACGTTGGCAGGTCTTATCGACACCTTGGTGTCCGGCCTGCGGCAAATCGTGGCATTCTTTAATAGCTCTACGTCGTAACTCTCGAGGGAGAACTAATTTCCACTCGTTCAAATCCTCGTCTACCGAAGCGAAAGTGTTCGGTTTGAGGTGGTATAATAATCCTTCAGAGATCTTCCACGTATGGTATTTCTCTGGTATTCTTTCTACTTCTCGACAGTGGCGTAGATACCATTTATCTTGGGTATCTAGCGCGGTTGTTAGTAGGTTTGTCGCTCCTTCCGGAGCGCGGGATAAGGCGTCAGGCACATGATGTGATGCGCCCTTTCGGTGTACGATTTTGTAATCGTACTCCATCACCCTCAAATTCTATTTCACGAGTCTGCTGGCAGGGTCATTCATGTTATGAAGCCACCTTGGACTACTGTGGTCCGTGATTACTGTGAAGGGATAATCCGCCAAGTAACATCGAAACTTCTTTACGGCCCATACGACCGCTAAACACTCCTGCTCAGTAACTGTGTACTTTCTTTCAGGATCTGTCAAGGAATGGCTAGCGTAGGCTATTACTCGCTCTTGCCCTTCTTGCACTTGCGTCAGCACTGTGCCTAGCCCTACACTGCTCGCATCCGTTTGCAGAGTGAACGGTAGCGAGAAATCCGGGTATGCAAGTGTTGGAGCCGACGTGAGGTGCTTTGTTAGCGCCTCAAAGGCTTCCTGCTGTTCTGTTTCCCAAACCCACGGTTGTTTCGTCTTAGTCAGACGTATCAAGGGTTGAGCCACGGTTGTAAAATCTGGTATAAATCGTCTATACCAGGAGGCCATTCCTAAAAACCGACGAATCTGTCAGAGATTCTTGGGTACTGAGAACTCTACGACCGCCGACGTCTTGTCAGGGTCGACTTGCAATCCTTTGCTGTTCACTACGAATCCGAGGTACTTGACTTCGGATCGACAGAACACGCTCTTTTCACGATTTATGCTTAAACCGTGGTCTCTCAATTTATCGAGAACTTTTCCAGTCGAGACAACTCTCCGTTCCATGGTCTATTCACACCTCCATCATGGAAAAAATATTCCTGGATATTTTCCAATGTAGCAGTAACAACCAGCTCTAGTCGTGACTGTGGCGATTTTTTTTTCAAATCGAGCACCATTTCCCTCGTTTTGAGGTTATGTAACTATTCACCGTTGGGTGAATCTTTCTGTTTATATTCCGTCGCTGCCAATCGGAAAATATAAATATATATATGTATTTTTTTTTCGTTTTCACTCTCCCTTTTTGCCGACTTTCATCAACAAAATGTTTTCTTACCTCGAGGTGCGAAAAATCCATTTTTGGAATTTTTGTGCTGCTGTCCTCGATCTCTCAAATTTTTCCAATCGGAAAAAGCCGTCCCCCGGCTCCGAAACCATTCTCCCCCGGCTGAATGAGGAAAACAGCGCTCAGCGCACAGGGAAGACCCTCTCGGAGCGGAAAAATGGACACTGTCATTTTTCAGCGGAGAAAAATTATCTCGTTACCTCAAGGCCATGCTCCCTGGGTGAATGAGAGAACGCATTCATGAGTTTCGTAGAACCTTTCCTCACCGTGAAATTTCGCACTTCCAGATTCACTTCGTTTGCACAAAAAAATCCGTCACTCGGGAAAAATATTTCTGTTAATTTTCCGCCGAATTATCCCTCGAATAATTACTTTCCTTTCGGGGAAAAAGTAAAATTTTCCCCCGGATCACCACTAGGATGATTACTATCCCCCATTTCTGAGGTTTTCTCGTACTCCATTTTGGCGTGGCCCCACGTTAGGCGCCATTTTGTGAGGGATTTTCACCGGTGCTTTACCAGCCAATATCCCAAACTAGTTTGGCATCTTCTCTATCGCTCAATTGTTGGGCGCCAGCTGGATTTTCACGGAAAATCAAACGGTAAACTGGCCTCAGAGGATAACTCGTCTACCCTGAGGACTTCTCGTGGCGGGACTAACTATGCCGAGCCAGCATCAGTGTAATACGGTAGAGTGGGCGAGGTCCACCATATTAGAAGTAATTCACTCGATCGATCTTCGTCTTTTCAGCCGAGAGATCTCGATAAAGCGTATCTTCCAGGAGATATTTCTCCATGTGTCTTTCGCCGAGGTTGTTTCCATTCCTCTGATGTGTTTCCTTTCTCTCCAGAGTGGCTCAACTCTGGAGAAGTCGACGATTACCTGTGAATCCTTCTCACTCCTCGGAGCGCCGAACATTGAGAGGCACATGCAACACAGGTATCCGGAAACTTTCTCAACCACCTGTGCTCACCCCAACTCATCCTCAATGCTCGGTAACAGCACTATCATCGCGGGCCAACACCCAGATTACTCGTCGTGAAGGCACATGCGCTCGGGCCTCCAGGAGTCGGCCTAACTCCCGGCCCATGGATCTATGCCAACACCACTTCTTTCGTCCGAGGTAATGGATCCCTGAGAACATGGAATTAAAACATCCCACTTCCTCAAAGTAATCCAATCATTTTGTTTGGGACGCCGAAGCATCCCATTCTCTCGCTGTTTCGGATCTTGTCCTCACAACGTATCCCCATAATCCATACGGATTAATGCCACTAACGACTGTGCCGAGTAACCGGAAAGGCATTCGCTCGACTCCAGTGTTGGAAACTGAATGTAAAACGTATAGCCGCTTATTTGGCCAATGGGGCCGCTAGGGGGCCAACCTTGCAACGTAAAACTCTAGAAATTTGGGATGGTTCCCTGATTTCTCTAGATCTCCCCTAAACGGATCATAAAAATAATAAAACAAAATTTCTTAAATAATAAATATGGAAAACGGAAGTAAATGAATTATAAACAATTCAAAACACGTTCAACTATTGAATTAAAAATTAGTGGATTTATTATTCTCCTCCCGATTTTTGTAGAAGAGGCATGAAAGAATGGCATTGTTTTTGGATTAGCAAATGGAAAAATAATGAAAAGTCTGATTGTTTATTTTCATTAACTACATATTCATCAATCATATTATCCCAATTATACGTATAAAAACATTTATTTTAATGAGAAAAATTGAGGAATTATTGACCAATGGAGGAAATAGTAATGAATTTAAAATTCTAGCATTGTTAATAACAAATCCGGATAATTATGATAGTCCTTTGGCGAATCACTGTAGACGTTAGTCATGAATAATCAGGATTGCGAAATAAACGAATGAATATTATTCTATCCCATGGTTTATTGAAAATAAATTCATTAACAGTATATATTTTTAAAAAACGCACGTTTTTTATTGAGAATAAATTCCTCATTTCTTCATTTATCATTGAATCAATTCATAGTCGTACATGTTTCATAGATGTTATTGACAATACATATTTAGTCATGTGTTTATAGCAGATATCTTGAATATAGATTTGTATTAACAATGAATTACTTATCCTTTCATTCATAATCTGAAACTTTTTAAAACATGTAATGAATAAACACTAGCAGAAGGTCGGTCAAAACAAACACTTGCCTTTTTTTCAATTATCAATGACTCAGAAAAAAAATTCTGTAGCAAAACGGTAAAACGGTTCAAGTCGATTTTTACTATTTACCAGTTTTCAATGAATATCTCGGAATCTAAGGCAGATAGCAAAATTTTTGTCATGATCTTCTTAGTAGAACGAATTGAGAGCTGCAAAAAAGGTAATTATAAAAAATTCGCTCTCTTCCTTAGATTCGGAGACATCCCTCTGAAACTCAGCTGAGCGCTGAATCATCTTACATCGTTTTACCGCTTCGCGATTAAATTTATTAATTAATTTCATAGAGGTTCATCATCACCGATATAAATTTTCTTTTTAATGGAAAAGATAATAATAATGTTAAAAATTGAGACCAAGGTAGATTATTTCCCGAATATTATGTCGACTGTTTTTCCACCTTCATAATCAAAAATATTTCCCAATTTCCGATTAAATTTACATCACGCAAGAGTCTCTAAAATTTTAAATGGATAGTTTATCATGGCAGTTGACAATCTGATAGCTATTACATAAACAAATGATTAATTTCCCCTCTAGCCCCCTTATTTTATAACCCCTGGCCTTGAATCAGTTAAGGAATTTATGGCGTGGTTGGAGGGGATAAAAAAAGTCAAGATATTGATGATTTGTTTTAAATACATTCTTTGATCTATCAAGAGACTTCGTGCAAAATTTCAGATGGTCTAGGAGCTTGATAACGACACAAATAATTTCTAAAGTTGCTACTTATGCATGCAATCAAATGGGGAATCGATAAACTCCGCATTTTTCCTACATTATCGACCAGTCGGCAATATGGGAACAACGATGAACTTATCGATGCCCCATTTAACCTCATGCATAATTTGCAACTTTCTAAATTATTCCCGTCGTTACCAAGCTCCTAGGCTATCTGAGATTTTGCACATGGTTTATTAATAGATCAAGCAGTGTATTTTAAAAAAATCATATATATCTTGACTTTTTTTAATCTCTGAGACCACGCAATAAATACCGTAATAACATTTGAAGAAAAGACCGAAGTGTTAATTTCTCACTGTGTCGCCCCCATTAAGTAATGCCTTCATATTACAATGTAACGAATACAGATTTTCACAGTTGTTTAACAACACGTGGTATAGCTATGGTGGACTCGATAGTCATTGCCTCAGGTATCCGACAGGCCAAATTCGTCAATGTATTCTCAGGTGTCAAAATATCCAACATGTGGATCCTTGATATCTTTGATTATCTCTTGAAGACCTTGACAGGTCCGTTTCAGCTCCATTGAGAGTCATCAAAAAAATGATGACCCGATGGGCATGGATTCTATTACTACTCTCGACATTTCCAAAATTATCCTTATTAGAACCAGATCTCCTACGTTGATTGACTCTTGGTGAAGATTCTAGTGAAACATTCGCTAAACTCAATGCTCGAATGAACCATAGAGGGTGAAGGTACATGTGCGAAATCCAGCAGATTATTTTTCAGTTTCCCTGTTCATGTCATTCCTTGAGGTGGACTGGACAATCACTCCATAGCTGTTGGGATGTACGGAATAAAAAATTGATCAATGATGCCTATGAAAATCATGAGATGAGCTTTTTACCTGAGCCTCGATATTTTTTGGATGCTATTGAATTAATCAAATTTCCCAAAGATCGTTGATCTTCTGCCCTATAAGCACTGACATTTGGCTGTCGCATTGCAATTTTTACGTAAAGGCTGGATACGACTGTTAACGTAGTCTGTTCATCTTTTGGCAGCACCAGGTACGTTAATTACCTAGTCCCTGCCCCTTCATTTCCTCTGATTTTCGATCTACGATATAAATCATAGTGTGGTCCAGTTTGATGATTTATTGGCTAGATTATTTCTCCATCTGCAATTGAATAATTAATTAATTTAATGGACTGGCTTCTAATGACAGTAATTTTTTTTAGTTTAGGCTGATGGATTCATCATGTAAATATCTCATATTCAATGACTGAATGAATTTTTGCGTGTGCCAAAATAGCTTCTAAACATAATTTCCTATTTTTTTTCTTAACTCATTACTGAGATAATATAAAAAAAAAACGAAAAATACACCAAATAAATACCGAGTATTTTCCAATTAGATGTGAGAATATTAATTTTGAAGAAATTGTCGAAGCTGTTAGTAAATGCAGTATTTGATATTCACATTGGACATAAACTCCAGGATTCTAGACCACCAACTTAGGTCGATGAACTTGAAACCCAACTCCATGGGCATTTAATGAGGGATGTTTGTACATATGGTCTCTGGAAAAACTTGTAGCATACTCATCCCAACTTGAAGACTTCCACCATTAGTTTCAAAACTAAAATTCAGCATTGGAAGGGTTTTTGAACACTAGCTTGACGATTTTAAATTGCCCTTTACCAATTTCTCCGTGGGCATTGAACTGGAAATGAGATGGCAGAAGATTATTCTTCTGAAATGTGGAATTAAATTATAATAGTTCATAAAATGGAGATTATTATTCGAGGATATCCAAAAAAACGAGAAGAGTTTAAAAATATGGAGAAATAATTTTTGAAGCTGTGAATATTTTTCATTTAACTGAAATTCTGAAATAAACTTACTTTTTCCTCATACCACCAAAGTTGCTGATACACCACCTACTGCTTTTCCTCTCCCTTCCAGTCACCATTACCTGCCCCACTGATCAACTTTGCTTAGTCCAAGACGAATTATGCTATTCCTCCATGAAGGCTTCAACCACAAGAAAATCTTTTACTTTATTTTTCGAGGGTTTGTTCTGTTTGTTGGACTCCACGTCGATGCTATTCGCATCTCAAACGATGTGCTCAATAGCAGTTTTGTCATTCATGACATTATCATCAAGCTCTTTGACATTTATTCATGAGCACCTGTAGTGCCTGCACTTGAAAAACATATTGATTTCAATTATGAGAGTAATAGAGTGACCATTGTGCCCATAGTCAGTGTCATTGCACTTTTTATTGTATCATTCCATCTTCTGCACCTGTTCTTGCTTTCCTACGACTACTCTCCTCTAGTTGGAATCAGAGTAATGTAAGTGATGTCATCGTCATTGATGCCGGAGTACTTCATCGTAATGTACGTTTTTTTCTCAGGATATTTTTCGTAATTTTTTAACTACTTATTGGGTCATATGGTTAAACCCAATGGATTTATTCTCAGTTAGTAGCTGTATCGGGCAATTCCAAGATCCCAAGTCCTCTTCAGATGTCCTAGGGAGGTGTCCTCTCTATTGATACCTGACGATAGAGTTCGAAGTTTGCATGGAACTTGTCCTGGTCAGTGTGGTGGAAGGTTTTGTGATAGGCTTGAAGAAGAGATGACTGAAAAGTTGATGGGTAGATTAAAGGTGAGAATTTGATCACAGTCCGTCACAATGGATCGCAGTTTGTGGTTATGAAAAAATTGCCAGCAGTTGCTTTACAACTTGGATAAATACAATTGGAATTGAAGAGGCCAGAAGAAGTCCCAAGAGTTTCGCCTTGTTATAGAGATCTTTTAGAGTCCATCTCCGACATTCCTCAAGGCTTACAGCATCGCGACGAGCTCCAGTGCCAACAAATTCACAGGAGCCCTTCATAAATTGTACAATTTGTCTTCCTGTCGGTGAAGATTTATCTGAAAGTAGAAAAAAAGAGAATGAAAATAGTATTCAACGCATGTTTGACATTTTTCAGTGGTATCAAGAAATGATATCCTTAGAGTTTGCATTGTTAGACTTTGTCTGGAATACTAATTTTCCTATTAGAAGCATTCCAAGCTAATGAGTAGATTTCTTGCAGAATCATGCAAATGCACACACTGTAAGAAATAATAAATATGTTAATCAATAAAGCCAAACCGAGTATAAATCCATGTCGAAAACAATAGTGGTCCAGTATAAATTAAGGTAAGTAGTTGGTTAGTAAAGGGGGAAATTATGGGACAATCACATAAAAAATGGAGAAAAATCTGAAAACACTTATGTACACAGCGAAAAATGAATAGTAAAAACACACATTGTTACCCCAGCTACCCGAGTGGAAATTCTGTTCAGGTCTCGATCAGAAACTGATCAAGTCCGATCCGAAATTCTGATCAGGCATGTTACGCCTCCACCTTATGTTTTTCCACTAGGGTAGCTAAGCTACTTTACGGGCATTTTTCCCTGGGCTTTCCTTTGTTTTGATCACCAAATTTTCTTTCTTACAATGTTGGTTGATAAAAAAACTAGTCAGTGAATTGATGATCGCATTAGCAACGTTGTGGCCGTCGATTGAGCATGTTATCCACCTTATATCAATGCATGTCACAAATACTTCAAGGGTGATAACTTTGATATTGGAGCGATATATTTGAGGAATAACTTTACTGTTGAATCATTTTGTTGCCTTGGCAATCAGCTCTATCAACTCATCAGAAGGTTTGTATGGACTTCCATCCTTAGTGAAACACTTTAGACATTCATCATACGAAAGTTTTAGGTCTTGTAAGATTTTCGCTGCTAACTCTTCTGGTAGTTTTTCCTTGAATGCCATTCCGAGCAGATTTTCAACCACAATGTCATCTTCGATGTCCTCATCATCTGATTCTTTCAGGTGAATAACGGGGGGAGAAGTGGGGCCACATGAATTGTCTTCATTATTATTAAGAGTAGTGCAAGTTTCAGTGGGAATGTTCTTGGGGTTGAAAAATTCCTTCAGGTCCAACAGCATTTTGCCGTTATCTTCTTCACAATTAGCTCCAGGTGCATATGGTGGAGCATGTTTCGACACCAGGATTCCTTTGTATGCTGCTTCGAAGTGCAAGCAAGTAGCATCACTGTTGTCTCTACATTTATTACGTATTGATCCAAAAAGATTCTCTGTCTGATCTTGATTCAGGCGTCTCAGTTCTCACGATTTGAAGCCAACTTTTAGCAATTCTTGCCACAGGTCCTGGATTGCAGATAGTGAAGTTACAAGGTTTTGTTGACATGATAGCTGTCGCTGAAGGTCTTTTCCTTCAAAAGTCTTGAACTTCAACAATCCTGGCAACTTTCTGAATCTTGACCATTTCTCTATGTGGTCTAAGTTCGGTGTAGGGTTTTTGATTTTAGAATCCTTGTCTCTTGATTTGGGGCCGTTAATAGAATCAAAGAGATCGTTGATGTCTTTCATCACTTCGGCTGTAACTGAAAAATTGGATGTTTCTGGTCCAGTGTCATATTTGGAAAGGAGTTTCAAAGTATTGCTGGTACGATTACTAAACAACTGGGTAGCATATTTTACGTGCATTTTGTCCCTTGTGGCAGGAAAAACATGGGTCTCAATCAATTTTTACTCTCAATGTTTGCTGCTCCTTCTTTTTCGAATAGTGTAATGATGTCTCTGTATTTTGCTCTGTATCTTGCCGTCCCATTCCATCTGTTGTCCTGGATATGAAAATTTAGATGAGTTAGGGTTTTCCTTCAGCCATTTTTCAAAATTTCCCATAAAGTTATTCCTTACACATTTAATAATATGTGGCCAGTCGAATAGGGCGAAGATTCTGCGTCCTTTCCACAAAAAATGAGTTTTGCTGTTCTCCCTGTGCTCATCTTTTAATTCTTCTTTCAACTTTTTGACGGTACTTTGATTCGTGCTGCCTTCATCGGAAACAAGAACCTTTATTACTAATCCCGTCTCATCAACAGGTTCAATTACCTTCTTTATCAATCCACTCAAACGGACACCACTGGTGGTATCCTTAGGAAAATAGTAGACCACTGGCTGCTTGTAAGGACTGTTCAATCCTTGAATAACGAAAACTAAGACATGATTCGCTATTTCTCCATAGCGTGCACCATCCCCGTAGTCTTTATATCCTACAATCGTCCCTGTGACCTCATTGTATATCAATCTTTGCTTCAACTTCATTTCATCAAATACCAGGATGCATTGTTTGTCCATTTCACTCCTTTTTGCGACTGTCGGTTTTATATTTTCAATAACTGCTGTGCTTATTCCTACATGAACCGGTATACTGCTCAAAACTTTGGAAACAGTTCTTAATATTGAGAAAGGAAAGAGTTGCTGTATCATAGCATAAGCTGGTGCCCCCTGTTTAAATAATTCTAAAGTTGTTAATTTCTCATGGTCATTCCATCGGCGTCCCTAGGGCTTTCGATGACCGTTGTTGAAGTAACTGGATAACAATTGTTGCAAAACTGGCATGTCAATGTCTCCTAAAATGTGAGAGTATTTGTCGTGGGCTTGCAGAGCATCTCGAGTTCGAGATTTCAGTTCATCTCGTGTTTCTTGTAGTTTTATTTCTGATTTTTGGAGCTGAAAAACTTTCTCTTGCAGAAGAGTTACTAATCTTTCTTTCCGTGGAGTAATGGCTTCATCCTCGAGCCCTGCCACTTCTATACATTGTTTCTTGATGACTCGAACTGTTGCAACTATTCGGAGAGAATTGAATGGGGCATGAAAACTAGATCATTACTACGTACATATATTTCTCCCTAACATGACATTCATAAAATTATACAAAAATAATACTGTAATGCTGGAGCCTTCTTTTTTCACAAATTATGAGGAAATGCTCCAGTTCAGTCTGAAAAAGGATATTGAAAAATGGAGATCAAAATCTGAGCTCATTTATTTACAATTTTAAGAAACTAATGATAAAAATCATAGGTGAATTGTTTAGTGTGGAATACACATTTTGTAAGTTTAAATACATTTTCTTCGTGACACTCAGAGTATATACACAAATTTGGTATTTTATGTATAAATTCTGTCCAACGATTCACTCTCCATCACTGGAACATGTCCTAATTTTCTGAGGCTACTTCCAATTCTTTTATTAACTTCCTGGGTTTTTCCACCAGAATTGGATTTTTATGAGAATCTTTTACTTCAAATATAATGCATTCTCGTTGGTGTTCTCCATTTAATATAATAGTTATTCCATAGGTTTTGTGACAGGAAATGAATTTTTCCCAGTTTGTTTTAGCTGAAATTTATATTACAAAACCAATGACAATTCATCATCTGTCTTGTTCCCTCAAATAATATTATAATGTAGCTCGATAGAGAAAATTCAATTTATTGATCTCCTGTAGATGTTTAGGATCATATACTTTTTTCCATAAATTATATCAATGTTAAGCCAATTAGTAACGTTAAAAGCACATAATAATACGGCGATGGAATTCTGTATGCCTGGAACTGAAGCCGATTGGATGACAGAAAATACATGTAGAAAAAGTGATGAAGATAAATAAAATGTAGAGATACGTTCATTTCGTGATAGCAACGGTTCCAACACAATTCCCAAAATTATATCGCCGTATTGATTGTCATAAGCAATATCAGAGATTAGACATATTGCAAAACTAATTGTACACATGACTGAGAAAAAAGAAGGAGGCTCCGAGCACTTGCATAATTAGACGAAAAGACAATCCAAATTATTTATGGGCGACAATTTTAGTCTCAAGCACCCGACAAAAAATGTGTTAATGCATGACAACGTCCAAGTAAGGTAGAGGAGATTAGCTGCTGTATCAACAACAACGAATAAAGACACCATACCGGATGATCGATGGCGTCGTTTCACTCCCCGTTTAGGCGTAGCTTGATTCAATCCACTTTCTGTTGAAGTTTCTCGCTTTTCTCTTTGTGGTGTCCCTACGATTGCTTCTTTCCTCTGAGATCTTTTCGGGGATATTACCTGATGAACCAGCTCAGACAATCCACCTATAATTAATGAATATCCTCGTTATATAAAAAAAAAAGATTCACGGAAAGTTAAAATAATATGTAAGTATCAGGAGACAAATATTCATTAGCAGCTCGTTCCGTTGGGGCTGGGCTGGAGAGGTAGTGATGGGAGCACCCTGGTTGCTCATCTTGTAGGATGCTGATAACTAATCCGTTATTCTCAATGTTAGCATCTGGGAATTCGGGAGGAACGTGGACAAACACATTTTTTGTCACTGTGACATCAGAATTGTGAAGTGAAGTTGAAATCTTCGGTTCAGATGTGGGCATTTCCATTTTTCTAGCCTTGGCATTAGTAGTTGTGAAAAGGGGAAGTGTATAAGATTGAAGTTTTTTGGAATAACAGTGATAAGATTTTCATATAGAACCTTATCATTGTGTCTCTGCATAGCCATTGCAATGAACCTACAATTACCTATTAATTTTTTAGATTTACTGAGCTGCATCTTCAACAAACGGGTCCCTTTCATGTCTTCATGAAATATTGATACTCTTTTAGCTGAAAAATTACGGCTAAAACTTGCTCATTTATCTTTCAGAATTGAAGTGTTTCCTGATTGTTTGAATCCCATTTCGTAGACAACAAATGATGCAAATATCCGCAAAGTTAGAAATAATTTTTTTTGGTTTCTGTATTGTCAAAATACTATCAATTGCCTCAGAAAGGATAATAGATATCTATAAAAGTGAAGTAAGACATATGATTACTTCTATGAAAATTTTTCGAGAATTAAAAAGCTCCGAGGACTGGTGATTAATTTTTCAAATAATTAAGTCATTGGAAGCAATGTACCTTCAGTGGGAATTTTTGCGACATCAGAAAGTGGAAAATCTGCCAATAATTCTTCATCCAGGGGATTAACTCGTAGACCAAACAGAGATGGTATAACAGAGGGTTTAAGCTTCTTTCTGGATGGTTGAAAGAACTGATCCACTTCAAAGTGACAACCACACACGAATCGTATCCCATTGAGCTTGTCGAGAGATAAATAAATGAGATCCTTCACCCCTACTCTCCATAACCACTCTCTACACCTAAATAAAGAAAGGAAATCTCTGTATTGGTACCTAGTTTGTAAACAACCCATGTACATTAACGAATGTTTCTTATAGTTCGCAATTAATTGATTACCGTCCCGGTTCCCTTGGAAATCTCGCATAAATACATTCTTTATTTACGTGGTGAGCCTGTCCGCAATGCGGTACCACGCACTTGGCATTTCTCAGCATAATCTAAACAAAAAAATTATTTCAATTATTAGTATGAACATAAACACTGGATTGAGATGACCTCACTCCTCAGAACAGTGATAAAGCAATGAAATTATTGATAAAAAATCAGCTTATATCATCATTCATACTTACAATGCCTTGAAATAGTCGACTCCTTTATTTAAACGTTCATAACTCACTACTCTCACTTTATTTTATCACTTTTTATTAGTTTTCACACAACATAAACATAAATGAGGGGCTATGGAAAATAGTAATATGGCGTCCTAGCCTAGCATCTCCACTGATCTATATAATAACTGGATATCAGGCGGCCTATGCTGGCAAGCCCCAGAAATGGCCCCAATTGGACGGACGCCATTTTAGAAGGCAATTTGCCACTGTGCGCGGGATTTTCAAATGAGATGAAAAGTAACCAGATTTTTCACGTTAAGTGTGAATAATTAAGGGAAAGGATTGGTTGAGAGGTGAAATATCAAAGAATAATACTTGATTATTAGTATGACGTTTATTAAACTACACTGTTCTCTCCAAATAGAAATTAGTTTCATGTCTAAGTTGATGATAGAATTGATATGTTTAAAAATAAATTGAATAGCCCGAATTTCTAGCGAATTGTTAGAAAGGTCTAGTAGAAAATTGAATGTATAATTCCATGGGAAAATTGTTAAAAACATAGTTCACACAATTTACCTTTAAATGAATGAAAATCCATCGAGGATATCCAAGTATTTGCATCTTTTTTCTTCGTCTAAATTCTTTCCTACATTAAGAGTTGAATATTGAAGATTTCATCTAAGTTCCATTAGATCCTATTTTTCCGGAAACTTCACAATGTCTTTATTATTTACAATTCTAAGAGCAGAATTTGAAATATTGAAGAAAAAAATGATATGTACAATTAATGTTATTTTCGCAGCCAATGGAACATTCCGCTCTCCCTCGGCGAGGCGAAGCAAGATTTACACTCTTCTCTCCTATTACCATCATTTTTATAAATGCGATACTCTGACGGCGGTAGCTTAGTCTTCCATCTCTCAAAGATATGTTTAATCGTTGGCCCGTGAGTTTACCAATTTCCAATGGGATAAGGCATAAAAATTGAGCTTGATATTTGAAAATTGGTTTTTTCTTCGATTCCATTCTAAAAAGATGATGTCATCACTTCCTGGTGTCGAAATAGTATTTTCCTCGAGCATGGCTGCATGACAGTCACCTGGAAAATCAATTAATGGTAATTTTTCGTTGCAAAAATTCGTTGCAAAAAATGCATGCAATATTGACGAGGACTAAAACTCAGTGAAATGCAAAGGAAAATAATTTAGAACAGATAGTCAGAGGATTTCGTTTTATTTTTCAAGGAAATAGAAATCTGAAAAAATGTCAATCTCAAAACATGAGTGTGGGGAATCGCACATTTTTTAGATTACGAACTAACCGTCATACATCTAGTCATGCAAAATTTTTAAATATGTAACCATGTCATTTCTCGGTTCTTATAGTGTCTAACATCACGTCCGGTTTGACGACTGGTGCAGATTTTGGTTAATGAGTTCATTCGTACTTCTACGTATTCTTTAATGATCGCTTTGCTTAATGAAAAGACGTGTCCAGAAAGTTGTTCAACAGAATCATCAAATATATGAGTATTTAAATCAGGAAAGAGATTTTTTGAAGAGTCCACCACCATGTTCTTCAACACTTTTGAGCAAAGCATAGCACCAAATTGAGGTTCAATTGGGACTTGACCATTGTTGCAATTAATAGCCCTTCTGAAAGACTTTTCTGTCGCGAAAGCTAATTGATAAGTGCCCAACGATGGGAGAATTAAATTCCCCCGAGTTTTAGTCATAATCAACCTCAACACGATGTTATACGACAAATCTCCTGCATCATTCGAAAATCTCTTATCAATGTCAGTCTGAACATATGTGGCAGCTGTGCCTCAATCAGATTCCGGCATTACCGACGGAGCTCGCCAACAGCGCCAACGACGCAAGCAGATATTAATTCAACGATCGGAATAGCAAATCTACATTCCATTCGAATCATTATTATCATTATTACCACGTCTCTCATCTAACCCACTACAGCTGTGGCGTTCCAAGTTTTGTCTTAATAACTAATTACTAAGTGACCGAACTGAATAAATATAAGTTGTTTATGATAAACACATCTTTACTTTCTTTATGTGAGACCTCATTATCTCCATAATTGGTGACCTCGCCGTGATCCAGACGGATTGCGTTCACGCAAGCAATAACCTCGCAACAACCACGTGCCTCTATATGGACGCCAATCACCTTGATGACGGTTCCGCGTACACCTCCACACGGCACTGCACAATATTATATTGTGCCCCTAGGGAGTAAAAGTATTTTCTGACGAATGTGATTATAACCCTTGCCTTCGGCTCGGGTTATAACGTCACATTCGTCAGCAAATACTTTTACTGCCGTGTGGCACACGATATTTTATGCCTTGAGGACTGAAAACCGTGATTTAACCGAGCGAAGCGAGGTTAGAATCGCGGTTTTCCGTCCCTAGAGGCATAAAATAATCAACTTCAGGTGCACGGAGACCTGACTCAGCGAAATCCGGTTCAACACGAGCAGAACCAGCAAAATCAGCACCAACAAATTCAGTCTACATCAGGTCAGTTACATCCAGTTTTACCAATACCAGTGGCACCACTCACAATGACGCAACAACAACAACAAAATGACCAATTTCCTGGGCTTGACAACCTCCTCGGAGATTTTGCACCAGCTGGAAGTGCAGCCAACCCCAACATCAATCTTTCGTTTTGGGGCAACCTCGTCAACCAAGAGGCCCTGAACGAGCTCCAGATTATGGCCCTGTCGCAATTCAAGTTCACACCCTTCATTAGCGAAGATCCTGTGGCGCGGTTCACACAAATCGAGGCCCAGTTCAGGAACAGAAAAATCACAAGTGACAATACAAAGTACGATGCTGTCCTCGAGGCCCTTGACAAACAGTATCTTTGAGAGATCTCTGACATCCTCAGGGCTCCTTCAGTCAGAGATAAGTATTTTATTTTTTTATTTTTGTTATTTTTCTATTTCATTGGTTTTATCGAAGTAGTTCTCGATTTGAAACCCCTCCTCTAGCCTGCCTCCCCTCCTTCACTTTTCCTCTCATTGTTATCTGCGGTATCATGGCCGTCTTACTCTTAGCTGTGCCCCATTCGAGCTAGGACTGTACGGGAAACCATGTAAAACCCCAGTCGCACAGCCGGCCGATTGCGCAGTGCCCTAATGTATCCATCTGTCACACTGACTAGATGGAGACACTAGGCCGCTACACCGTGCCTACCGCCCGTAATTTTTGTGCGAGCGAGGTGTTCCTAAGCGGTCACCCATCCAAGTACTAACCCAGCTCAACGCTGCTTAGCTTGGATGTCCGCCGGAGCAACACCTCACCCACCTAACCATTACAGTCGGTTGGTCAGAGATAAGTACATATTTCTCAAAGATCAAATTATCAAACGTTCTTCCGAATCGAGTGATCGCCGCTTGCACAAATTGTTGACTGAGGTTGAGCTTGGTGATCAGAAACCCAGTCAGCTCCTGAAAAAGATGAGAATCCTAGCTGACCGGAAAGTTGGAGATGAGCTCCTCCGCAGCAGATGGCTAGCTCTACTGCCAGACGTTGTCAACAAGATCCGCAAAGCTGTCTAGACCAATGCCACACTCCATCAACTAGCTGAGTCTGCTGATGCAGTGATGG